AGCAGTCTTTTGTGGTAGAAGTGATGGTTCTACCATATTTGTAACAGGGAGTTGAATTTGAAGCTTTAGCTATATGGAGTGTACACGAGACTAGATAATGATCCGAGATATCATCACTCTGCTGCAGAATTTCAACACCATTAATATCAATTCCATGTGACAGTATTAAATCTAGAGTATGATTTCGACAATGAGTAGGTCCTGACACGTGTTGTCTAACCCCAATAGAGTTCAGAATGCTAATCCCAATGCATCTTTTTCATTATCAACATTGATTAAAATCACCAACAATTAAAACTTTATCTGCAGCCAGCACTAACTCGGATATAAAATCAGCTAATTCTTTAATAAAGTCTGTATGGTGCCCTGGTGGCCTGTATACAGTAGCCAGTACAAACATCACAGGGGATTTATCTTTAACACTTGTTTCTCTGGATAATGTTATATGAAGCACCATTACTTCAAACGAGTTATACTTGAAGCCCACCCTCTGAGAAATACTGAAAACATTGTTATAAATTGTAGCAACACCTCATTTTTATAACAGTAATCTTGGGGGGAAGACTCCTTTAAAATAATGTAATCATCAGGTTTTAGCCAGGTTTCTGTCAAACAGAGCACATCCCAAACGGCACGCTTACAGGTCGTTCAAAATGCCGCAGTGAGATTCCTGAAGGGAAAGAAGAAATTTGATCACACTACCCCCCTTCTGAGATCCCTTCACTGGCTTCCAATTAATTTTAGAATTGAGTTTAAAATTGTATTACTGTTATATAAATCATTAAATGATTTAGCACCTACTTATTTGTCCGATCTACTTTACCCCTGCTCTCCCACCAGAGGCCTTAGATCCAAAGATAAGCTCCTCCTTCAGATACCCAAAATAACCGAGTAACTGAGCCTTTGAAGTGGCCGGCCCGACACTGTGGAACAAGCTCCCACTCTATATTAGATCGGCTTCCACTTTGTCTGAGTTCAAGTCATGTCTCAAAACTTATTTATTCTCTGTTGCTTTTAGCTTATAAGAGTGTTCTGTTTTAACTGTTTTGCTGCTATTAGTGTACTTTACAAGAGTGTTTTGTTTGAACTGTTTTGCTGCTATTAGAGTACTTAATTTTTTATTTTATTCTAACTTGTACGGCACTTTGGTCGGCATGCGGCTGTTTTTAAATGTGTTTTATAAATAAACTGAACCTGAACTTGATCTAGGTTATGATCAGTGATCATATCGTTTACAAAAAGTGCTTTCGTAGAAAGGGACCTGATGTTCAATAAGCCAAGCTTTATCATTTGTTTATCCGTATTACATCTGTTTTTTATTTGTTGAACATCAATTAAATTGTTACTCTTAAATTGGTTTGGACGTTTTTTGTATTTTCTAGTTCGGGGAACAGACACAGTCTCTATAGTGTGATATCTAGGTGAAAGAGTCTCTATGTGCTGAGAATGAACTGATTTCTGTGACGTGAGGCGGCTAGCAGACGGTCGGTTTAGCCAGTCTGTCTGCTTCCTGACCTGGGTCCCAGTTAGTCAAGTGCAA